TTTTTTTTTTTTTTTTTTTTTTTTAAGGGCCACATGCAAAAAGTATTTTCAGTAAATCAGTATTTTCTCAGCCTCTTGGGCTAAGATCAAGTGATCACCTGAAAGCCTGATCAATGCCTTAAGGGCAGAGATGGGGATTGACGGAGTGTCAGGGTACAAGGATTGGAGGTGGGAAACCCGCAGCTCAAAACAATAGCAATGATGGCAAGTAACCATGAGGTGGAAAGTGAAATGAAGAGAGGAGAAGAAAGTCTAGAGGTAGATGGAGAGTGGACAAAGATGGAGAAACAGAGAAGGAAGATGGGAGCAACAGTGGAAGTAGCAACAACTACATAGGCAGTGGCAAAGAAGGTGACGGGAAGAGGAACAAGGCCCGGGAGGAAGATAGGAGCAGAGGAGAACAGGAGATGAAGTAAGAACAGCAGGAGAAGGTACATTGGACAAGGAGCAAAAGCAGCAGAAGCATGATGAAATACCAGTCCACCAGGTGGCAGGAAGACATGGAAAACGCACTGAGAGATGTCAGGAAGGATCGGAGGCTGCAGATAAAAGCATTATCAACCAGTGAAGGGATGCAGATGGGATCAACAATGAACTGATAAGAGTTCATAGAAAAGGTACTGTTTGAGATATCGGAAGTGCACATGGAACATCTCAACAGCCTGATTGCTTTGCAAAACAGAAAGACTTGGGAATTTCTTACTGGAGCAGTGATGGGTATAAAAAGTTTTAGAAGAAACATGAAGAGGAATTTGGGAGGGAGGAATTAAGAGGGATAAAGTTTATAGCAGGGAAAAAGTCAAGGGAATGAGTGATTATAGTACAAATGTACACATATTTATTACAGGCAGAAGACAAAGAAAGGTGGATGGAGTTGTATGTGCTTAGAGTAATGGGTGTAGAGAACGTGCAGGACAAATATGGTATTTGGACAGGGTCAAGGAGCATACAAGTTGTGTTGGGAGCAAACAAATGGAGCTCAGGTAGTGGGGCAGGAAGAATGGTGCAGATGCTTTTTGGCCAGAGTGAAGGTGGCAAAGGCAGAGCTAAAAGCAATGTGGGAAGAAGGTGATGCCTGGGTGCAAAAGCAAGAGGAGGTGTTGGAGAAAACAAGAAGATTTTATTAAGAGCTAGATCAGAAAAAGGAAACAGACAGGAAGACAATAAAGGTTTTTCTGGAAGAGACTGAACACAAAGTAGAGGAGGAGGAAGCAGAGGAGATGGAAGAAAAGATAAGCTTACAGGAAGTGAAGGAGTGCTCAAAAACCTTTAAAAGAGGGAAATCACTAGAAGACAGACTACCTATGGAATTTTATGAGAAGTTTTGGGCACAGGTAGGGAAGGATATAGTGGAGGTTTTCAAAGAAAAAGTGGAAAAAGGAGAGGCAGGGAAAGATAGGATTTACAAGTAGTGTTGTGATCTTACTCTTTAAGAAAGGGGAGAAGGAACTCCTGAAAAACTGGAGACTGATTACACCCTTTAATGTAGACTATAAGTTAATGGCCAAGACACTGACTTCAAGGATGAAGAAAGCGCTCCAAAAGATAAACATGAAGACCAAGTATGTACAGGATCAGGTAGAAGGATCTCCACATTGATCAGACATATAAAGTCCTACATCCAAGAGAGGAAAACAAACACAGTTACAGCAAACCTAGATTTAGAAAAAGCATATGACAGAGTGGATCATGACTACATATTCAAAGTGCTAGGAAAAATAGGGTTCCCAGAGAAATGTACATGTTGGATAAGGTTACTGTACAGAGAAGCAGAGAGTCAAGTCCAAATTAATGGGCTTCTAAGTAGGGCTTTCAAAATGAATACAGGGGTGAGATAAAGGTGACCGCTGTTGCCACTATTATTTATGTGCAGCATGGAACCACTAGCCCAAAGAATAAGAAAATACAAGTTCATAAGCAGAGTAAAAAGATACCAGGAAGGTGAGAGGTAAAATGCATTATACAGGGATGATATAAATGTAGTAGTTACAGATAGACTTTCAGTGGAAAGGGTGCTAAAGCATACATTAGAGTATGGAGAAGTGACAGGTGTTAAACTTAGGGGGTGCAATGATAAAGATTTTTTGGGCTGATACTGACAGTTGATTTTTAACGAGCCGCATTAGCCAATATTGATCTGATTCTGACATGCAGCCCGGCAGCTTGGAGAGCAGTGTCCAGCTGGTAAGTCTGTTGTGGGGGGGAGGGAAGTGGCATGGGGGAGTGTAGATTGAGAGCCCCGCAGTGAAGGAGGGATTGGGGATGGGGCAGGTGCTGCACAGCCAGGGTGGGGTGGAGCTGCAAGCGGCTTGTCGGGGGAGGAAGGGGGGGAAAGCAGCTCCCGCTGCTGCACACACCCCAGGAGGGTATGGTGGGGTGCCCCTGGATCTGCACGCAGGGCCAAATAAACCAATGCTTTAAAATGTATTCTGTGCACCTTCCAAAAATCAAACCTACGTCTATCTCTGAATTGTAAATAATATGTATTAAGGTTATATCAAACAAGAATGCTCTCTTTGTAGAAAATAATGATTAAATCATGGCTTCCTGACCAGTGATTTAAATTGTGATTTAAATCATGATTGAAATCCATTTGATTTAGATCGAATCCACCCTGGCTA